TTTGACATGGGATGGCATTGGCTGGAATGACCACAAACAAATACACAATGTTTGTTAAACAAAACAATCCAGAATTATTCATCTGCTGGTAATTGGTGCAATTTAATTAATTCATCTTCATGGCAGATTCTTATTTTCTTTCAGATAAATGCTTCTTCCTTCTTGGTTTTTGTTTTGTTTTGTTGTTTTTTGCTGGGCACTTGTGTTTATGCTTACAGTGGTGCTCAGAATGTTGTGACATCTCCAGACCAGACAGTATTCCTTTTGTTTTTAGGGCTGTGAACCAAACTAACTAACTTTAGCCAGACCATATGGTACCATGTAGACTAGTTGCATTGCAAATTCATAGCAAAATAGTGCATAGTCTTCTACCAGCATTCATACAGGCTTCTAGTAAATCATTTACTGAAAGGGTAGAAAATACCGTATTTTTCTGTTTACAAGATGACACTTTTTTCTAAAATAATCAGAGGAAAATTTGAGGCACGGGGCTTAGCAAAAAGGGAGCCCTTTTACAGTATCTCTGCTTTTTTAAACTTGAGGTTAGAAAAAGGGGGTTCGTCTTATACTTTGGGTTGTCTTGTAAACGGAAAAATATGGTACTTGGTGTGTCTGTGTCTCTCTGTGTGATCAGTATGCCTGTATATGAGGTCCCTATCTATGTAATATCAGTGCTGTATACAATTGAGCTGGTTTTGCTAAACTCTGTATTCCAAACACACTTTAGTTATGAGTCATAACTGTTAGTGGGAAGCAAGTGAGACAGCTCTAAAGATCAAGCTGTTTACAAATTGCTTTGTGCATCATTCTGAACAGTGTTTGTGCTGGAATCTGAGGTTTAACTTTTGACTGTCTGGGGGATTTAAGTGCATATAAAGAAAATGAAAGGACCTTCTGGTGCCCTGTATATAATTTATTGCAATATCAACATTAATGATTATAATGAAGAATCTGACATTTGTTTGCCTTCTACTCCACTCTAAAAAGTTGTGCTGAAAAGTTATGTTTATTAAATGATAGTATTTGGGGGTTCAGTGTTCAGAATATCAAGGAGTCAATTATGTGAAGTTAGTTTTAATTTATTTACTTACTTATAGTGGAACACAACTGCCTTGTTGTTCCATAGCAGTTTTGACTATGGCCAAGGGAGATGTTTTTCTCACTGTTGAGCTTGTGCCTGATGGTGGCTTCATCTTGGCAGGTGAGATCTTCCAATTGGAGGGCTTTAATCAATTTCAAAGAAGTTGTTGGGGGCTGTATTTTATTCACTGTCAGGGCAGAAGGGTGCAGCTCAAAATACTAGCCTGTTTTTAGCTTAAAGTTGTTACAGCCAGTTACTAACGCTTAGTTGTGAGGCACTGCAATCTTTTAGAATGGGAAAAGCCTACATAGAAACTAGGAAGCTACAAAAGAATGGTATAATGAGGAAGGAAGCATGGCCATGCACAATATTTCAGAGAACTGGATGGAGACCCCAGGGCGACTGGATTTAGCTCCAGAGCTCCAGGGCCAGAGCTTCCCACTTCTAAGTCATTTCAGTATTACAGGTGCCTTGTCTTCTGCTCGCTTGATTTTACATTTGCTTATTTTGGTCAAATCTCTTTTTTTAATGTCAAAACAACAAAACAAAAGAGCAACAGAGGGAAAAGAGAAAGGGGAAAAAAAGAACAGAGAAAATTGCAAATAATACAGCAATAGTTAATAATAACTACAAAGTAGTCCCAGAATCTTGGGGGCGGGGGGGAGAACCCATGTAAACATTATTCCAAGTTTAAGTTTATTGTATTAATTAAAAGCCATCACAATTGTTTAAAATACAAATATAATCAAATAAAATCAGAATAAAATCATGGAGATATAAAATAATAAGAGACCGCTCATATCTGGGAGTCTCCAGCACAATTGATTGCAATGGCTCTCAGGGAATTAGCACGAATGTTTCTGGCCGCTTTTGCAAACAGCGCTGTTCTGTAAGTGACAAATGGGTCACAGTCCAAAAGTAATCTGACCACGTTTGTCTGAGGGCTTTCCTCCTGTAGGGCCGCCAAAATGTTACCCAGGAATTTTTCTCTGGGGTTTTGATAGAGCTGACAGTTACCGTATTTTTCGCTCCATAAGACGCACCTTTCCATAAGACGCACCGATTTTTTAGGAGAAGAAAACAGGAAAATATAATCTGTTTTCTTCGCTCCATAAGATGCACAGATTTTCCACCCCCCTGTTTTGTGGGAAAAAAGTGAGTCTTATGGTGCAAAAAATACAGTAAGTAAATAGTGGACAACATCCTCTATCTCATCTGCTCCACAAATACACAACCTTAGATGCTTGGGGACATTCATGTACCTACCATCTAAGACAGCGGTTGGAATGGTTTGATAATGGAGTTCTGTGAATGTGGTTCTCAAGGAGGAAAAAGTAAATGTTTGTAAATATTGTGCCCTTAAGTGGTTTGTTTTCAGCAGATGGTACCACTGAGAGAAATGGATTAAGGATAAATCCTGGTCGTTATCCAATTTGTAGAGCCAGTCCCTCAACATTCTTTTAACCCCAGAAAAAACAAAAATATCTGTAGAGAGGGATTTAAACAATTGCGACGACTTATAGCTAATACAATAAACTTAAACTTGGAATGTAAACATAAGAGTTTAGTGAAAAGTGACCAAATGTCCAAATAAATATCTGTAGACATTTGCTGTCTATGTGCCATATGTCCAATGTTGAAATTTATAGTCCATTGACTAATGGAAGATTGACAAATGTTCTTCCAGTGTTGCAATATCAGTAGTTTAGTAAAAGGTGCGCATCTATAAAATCTGGGGTTGCTTGAATATAAATTTAAAATACTCATAATTTCACTCCGAGAAACTACAGCTGCGCATAGCCAGAGCATATGTCTAAGAGATGCATCACCAATAATTAGCAACTTGTTCAGACCTTTACTGAAAAGTCATTGTGATGTCCAGGAAGCACAAAACATAAGTTTCTGTTGAATAAACCACAAATTTAGATCCATAAATAGAATGAGTAGGGAGGCCAAAGACATCAGTCATTTATCAGACATAATAGAGTGATCCAAAATTCTTCATTCCATGCTTTCCTCTAAAGTTGTATATGATAGTTGTTGATTAGCAATAGGTTTTTATAAGAAAATTTTATAGTTTTTTCCCCTCTGTATTGGTTTATTGGCAGAAGTTCTATTGTTTAGCATAAGTCAAATCATAACTTTCAGCCTGTTCTGGTGTGTGTGTGTGTATGCACACACCAAGCCAGAATGCACGTGTATCCCAAGAATTGTAGCAGACACAATATGTTTATCAGGGAGGAACAAACTGAAAATTACAATTTGGCTTATGCTATGTAGCAGATTTTGGCCAACAGTTATATCCAAAGATATGTGGGAATGTGCCACTGAGCTCAGGGCTATGTTTGGATACCAATACATGTTTTAACCATACATATGTAAAGGAGCTTCTGCTTTTTATGCATGTCTACTGTGATACCTGAAAGCATCCTAGTTCATCTTACCAGTGAAGGGGATATGCATATATGTGCAAGGAATCAACAAACAGTTTAGGACAGAGTTACATGGAGGAGGGAAGAAAAGGAGGTGAGTTAGAACTTGCCTACAAAGTGGATTCCCAGAAAGTTCAGTTGTCTCAGCCACCATTATGTGCCTGTGTCTGGACTGGAAGATGGAGTCTAAAAGGTACCTGCCTCTGAGAGATCTAGTTGCTTGTCTTACTGTGTGCACCATCCAAAACCTGTGAATCTCCGGTTTCATGCAAGTTCCCTTTTGGATATCACAGAGGGTATAAATAAAGTACAAGTGTTTATCAAGAGTAGCAGAGCATCCTCCAGCACTTTACAGATCAACGGTGTATCTCAGAATAATAGTTCATAAAACATTTTCAGATGTAACAGTATTTCATGGGGTTAGCTTATTTTGAGAGGTGTAACCCATGGAAAGCCTTGAACTCATGTGTTCCCTTCTTTTACTCCTGCTGAAAGGAGGAGACAAGAAGCTTTGGTTTTCCATTTTTAACTAATCTGTGGCTCACTGAGTCATTTGAACAAGAGGATCTGTAATTCAGAGGTCCCCAATCCCCAGTCCATGGCCTTGTGCCGGTCCGTGGCCTGAGCTGAACTGGGCCGCCGAGACAGACTCCCGTCTCACCCCCGCATGGCCTGTTTGTGCCTGTGCACATGCTCCAGCACACCTGTGCGAGTGTCGCACTGCTGTTTGCACATGCGAGAGTGCATGCGTGCTTGTTCGCACATGCGCATGAGCGTGGGGGGTGTCCCACCTTCCCCAGCCAGTCTGCAGACCGAAAAAGGTTGGGGACCGCTGTGTAATTGATATGACGTTTGTTAAATGCAAAATGAACCCTAGCTGATTGGTAATTTCTGTTAAATATAGTTTAGAGAGTGGTGCCTGACCTTGTATAACCTAGGATGGCAGTCCCTAGAAACTGGGGCTGGCACAGCTGGTGGTGAAGGCTTCTGGAAACTGCAGTCCAAGAATACCTGGGTTGCCCTGGGCATGGATGCACTGGTTTACAATATTGATTCTCAACCCAGGATCCTCAGATGTACTTGGACTAAAAATCCTAGAAGCCTTCACCACTAGCCATGGTGGCCGTGATTTCTGGGAGTTGTAGTTCAAGAACATCTAGGGAACTGAGATTGGGAAGCACTGTTTTAGATTATGTCTGTACCCTAAGCAGACCAGACCTATCACTTATATTTTGAAGTTATAGTTACCTTTATTCTTTCCTTTTGTTTTATAGATCACTGTTGAGATCTGTGAATTTCGTAATTAGGTCATGAAATTTGTCCAATATGATGAAACTACATAGTTATTTATACCTTTCAAGAGACAATTTTTAAGCTGTTTACATAGTTAAAATGAAATAAATGTTAGTTTTGGTATTCCAAGTATATACTGGAAGTTAAGCTGGGATGTTCACATGTGATTAATGTTTCTTTTTCTTCCCCCTTAGAAAAAGCCATTGACTGCAGTCATAAAGGAAATCTGTGATGGGTAAGTTCTGCTTATTATGTTTTCTTTCAACTCTCAAGATAGATAGCTAAAATAGATTTCTTTCCCCTGCCCCAACCATCTTTGTAGGTTAATTCAAATATTTCTCGAGTCTGCTTTCACAGATCTGTTTTGTTTTCAAGTGTAGAACCTATTGTTATATGACGAGTATCATTCTCATTCACTGAAAAATTATTAAGACATCTCTTTGCATTGCCTTTATTATTAATTGTATTAATTTTTGAAAATGGAATACAGTACAATTGGGAGAGAGAGAGAGTGATCTTCCAAAGGTTGCTGAACTTGTCTCATCATTTTTTACTACCAGCTATGCTGGATAGGGCTAATGGTCATTGCAGGCCTGGCAACATCTGGATGGCCTTTTCTGGAGTTAGAAAGAATGACTATTCCTGCAAGCAGCTCAACATGGTGTGCATAATCTTCCCTTCTCCTCCACCTTCCGAATTTTGTCTTCATGAGAATCTCATTAGGTGTTGGTGTCACAAAATGAGCAGGCTGATAGTTTATGTAATCACAACTAATTAGGATAGCAAATAGTCTTGGAGAATAGAAGTTAAAGAAGTCAGCCACACACAGAGAAGGATGTCTGCCAGCAGTGCTCCTGATGGGCGACTAGTAGAAGAGGACCTCGAATAAGACGACTGCCCTGCCCCCAGGAGGACTGTGTTTATTAACCTTACAAGCTCACATATAGTTGACAGTATACAGATAGTTTGCAGAGTTCAGATAGGACAGTGGTTACATAATGCCATTATGATTGGCCCAAGGAAAGGCGATTAAGCAAGCTCTCTATCACCTATGAGAAAGAAGAAGAATGGGTAGCCGCTCCTCCTCCCAGCAGCAGCTGTGACGTCATCCAGGAGAGTTTGCTCTACTACTGTAGAATAAGCCAACAGTTTAGCAACTTTGGGGAGGGGCATTTCCCCCACAATTAGGGAGATTAAGAGTTACAATAATACGTGACCCAAGGCCAGCCAGTAAGCTTTATAATTGCATGAACATTGAAACTGGAGCATCCTGACATATATTCTTAACATTTTAACTTCAGCACCAGACTTTTGCTGTCTAGTATACTTTGGACCAGCTGTGGCACTTGCATGGAGCTTTTCACAAACAGGAGCAATTTGGTTCTCTCTGACAAGAGGAAATGGTTCATGCTGCTATACATATAGAAGTGGGAGACGTATGAAGGGTTTCAGTTTTGCTGCACGTGGAGACTGAGCCCTATAGGAGGAGTAGGGGTCTTCAACAATCTTAGGGCCCAATTTTCCCTGAAGATTATGAAGGATATGGCTGGTACCAGCATGCAGACTTCACACCTGCGCTGCTGAAATCTGGTAGCAGAACAAACTGCTGAATTTGGCAGCAAATTACAATAGCCTCTTTGAAATGAGCACTTGCTGCTAGTTCTAAAGCTATTTTTCTACCTTGATGCCAAATTTTTGTGGCTTAGTATAGTGCTGTCATGATTTGTGGGCTACACAGATGAGTCAGAGGAGCTGCATGGTATACTTTGTGGGGATTCCTTGGACAGGAGGAAATAATTGTGTGGGGAGAGGAGGAAAGGACTGTGCAAGAAGGAACATAATATATTAATTTAGAAACTACATCATCCATTAGAAGGATTTGGAATTGACTGATCATGTTTGCCATTCTTTTTAATCTTTATTTTGTTATTGCTTTTATTTCCATGGCTTTCCAACAGCAAATGAGGATTTCATTGAAATTACTGAAGTGGGAAAAATTGAAAAATAAATATGAGCCAAACATTCTGGCTTAAGTAACTACAAACTGAACAAACTGCATGCAGTTGTAGAAAGGGGGTAGCTGTGTTAATCTGTGCAAGCCTTTTAGGTAAAAGCAAGGGGGGAAAGCATACAAAAGTTGGAGTGAAGTAGGGGGATATGGCTTGTACCAGCATGCAGCCTGTTTAGTATGCCATGTTCCATTAAAGCAAATTGTTAATATTGTTAACATGCAGTTGTGGCTATTTGTCTCAACATTCTTCAATCAAACCTGCAACTAAACTGAACAGAAAGAAAAAAGTGAACATAACTTCTGGATTTCTGCCTTGCATGTGTGTCTACTGAGTAAAACTTGTTTTTATATTTGAAGGTGGTCTCTTGCAAACCATGAACATTATGCATTGCAACATGCTGATGGCTCCAATTTCTATATCACTGAAAAGGTAGGAAGATTTTTCAACACAGTCCTTGCATGTTGTGCTTGTTTTAAAAAAAACATTCTTCATACTGACCATGTGGTTTCAAAGCTAACCATTCAGGACAATTGTGCTTATTATCTTCCTTTGTGTGGTTCTTCTGACCCAAGTGAGTTATACTGTGATCATGCTGCTTCGTTGTTTGGTTAAAACTCTAACTGGTGGCAACGTGATAGTGTTGTTTTGTGGGAAATACATTATTGGTCTATTGGAGAGCATTCTAGCCAAGATTTTAATTGAGTAAGCCTTATCCATATGCTGGCAATGATAGCTTGATAATTAAGCAACATGTATCAGACTTAGATTGTGGAAAGGTTTTGTATGGCATGTATGGTTATATGGACTGGTGTTTACAGTATCATATAAGTGGTGCCCTGCTTTACGATTACCCCGCATTACGACGAATCCGCTTCACGATGACGTTTTTGCGATTGCTTGTGTGATCGCAAAATGATGGTCTAAATGGGGTTTTTCGCTTTGCGATGATCGGGTCCCTACTTCGGGAACTGATTCTTCGCAAAATGATGATTTTTTAACAGCTGATCAGCAGTTTCAAAAGCGCCACGGGGTAATTAAAATGGCTCCCCACTCTGTTTAGGGACTGATTCCTCGCTATACAGGCACTGAAAATGGCTGCCATATGGAGGATCTTTGCTGGATGGTGAGTTTTTAGCCCATTGGAACGCATTGAACAGATTTCAATGCGTTTCAATGGCCTTTTTATTTTTGCTTTATGATGTTTTCGCTTAACAGTGATTTTCCTGGAACAGATTATCACTGTTAAGCGAGGCACCACTGTAGTACGATTTGAGATGGAACTTACTCCTAGCGTCGCCCTTTCAAAATACATATTAATGGGCAATGTTTAGAGACTGGCCTTCTTTAAAAGTACATGTTTACAAAATAGCATGGTTACTTTCTGTTGCCTGTTCAGTCAGAACTTCTCTCCCTAAATGTGTATTCAGTTAATTCACTCTCTCTGCAATCATTTCTAGCAGTAAATACTAAGATGAAAAGTAGCATAGTCTATCTTGTTTATTTCAAAAGCTATAATCCCATAGTTCTTGAATGGTAAAACAACCTCCTAAAGGGAGGGGTCAGGTTACTTATGGATATGTTAAGGTTGAGGCCCTTCCTAAGGACTGTACCAGCTCTCCACAGCTTGGTATTTTTCAGATGTGTAGGACCAGAGTTTCCTTCATCCCCTGCTAGGATTGCCAGACAGACACATTTGGAGGACATCTGCTTGGGGAGCACATCTACAGATCACCAGTTTGGCAGAGAGAAGAATACATTTATTTACCATGATCCTAGATCTTTATACCATTGGTACAACAGGATGCAAACGTCTGTATCAACAACTGATCATATAATAAAACATCCCTAGTTTACATACAAGGTTTGTATGGGAATAAAATGGTTGTAAATGTTGTGCATCAAAATTAAATTATAATTGTACACGTGAAAAGTTAGTGTGATAAGTGGAAGGCTGAGCTTTCTCAGTCATTTAGTCTTTAGATTGTGGGACATTCAAGCAGTGCCATGTCTGGACCAGTATAAGTATATGGTAGCATCTTCCCCTTCAGAGAAATTAGAGAGAAATAAAATTTTGCTATGCAGTCAACATTCCCTCCTTCCTGGCTAGACTATTTTGACCAATCTTTAGGCAGCATCATTTAGGCAGCATTTGTTCATGATCAGGATGTTGTGGAGAAGCAGCAGGGAGGAATCTTAAATGAGACACATAGCTGGTTGTTATGTAAACAAAACATTGTCACCACTCCTTCCCTTTTCTGCGCAAAGGCTTAACAGAAATATTTTGCATTAACAGAAATCTCCAGGAAGAAATTCTTGCCTTGTTGTATATCATGCTGCGTTAAATTATGGTGGTTCTGCAGGCCACTGCAAAACATTTCAAAAGAGCAAAACAGCAGTAGTAACCATCTGTGTCTGTGCTCATCTCTAATATAATTGTCTTTAAACCAAACTGCCTAAACAGAAACACATTAGAAGGGCAACAGATTGGTGAAGACATCTGTGAAACTGTTAGTGTCCTGCTCACTGAGGTTTTATCTTGTTCTTATTCCCCTTATTCCCAGAAGATTTTTCTACCCTGTTCTTAGCTGTGTTCTCCAGCCATAGCTCACATGGTTCAAGAAGCCTCTCAGAGAGGCTTTGGTGATGGTATGGAGTAGTAAATAAAGGGAAGCAATCTTCTACTGTTTGTGGCTTTCTAGCACTTTTCAGAGTGCGAGTCACTGTATTTTTCACTTTATTTAATTTTCTATATTGGATACCTTAGGGAGTCCTTTTTGGGACCCAACCCAACAGTTTATAATAGTGTTACAATTATGTTGTTAGCCATAATGGCTATTCATCTTAATTTTGCCCCATGTATTCATTTGATTTCTTGTTTAGCCTCCTTTTTGATCCAAAAAGTCACCTGAGGTAGCCTACATAAAATGCCAACTTCAGTAATATTGCAGATGTTTCTGCTAGTGCCTTGCTAAATATTTCAACTATTATGTAGAAATCTGCAAGTGAAAAAATCCCTTTGAAAATAATGTCAAAGAAGGAGAAACTTCAGATAAATTCGAATGGGTAAAAGTCAGGATTCGTATACAGTACTTCTTTTGGCTTTTACTGTATCGTCATGTCTGTACTGCCCGGTTGCCCCTGCCTTGCTTTCTTGTGCTTTAGTTAAGGCTCAGTAGAAGTGTTGCCAGCTAGGGAACATTGTTTAATGCCAAGAAAAAAACAAAAGCAGTTTGAATTGTTATGGCAAACTCATGGAGGGAGGGAGGGATCAGATAATTCCTTTCTTATTTTGCCATCCAAAAGCAGAGAGGGGAAGGGAGACCAAGGGCAGTACCTGAACATCATGTAGTGCTGAAGTTTACTCTTTGAAGTACAGTGGAACCTCTACTTACGGATTTAATCCGTCTCAGAAGATGTTCGTTAGTTGAAATGTTTGTAAGTAGAAGCTCCATTTCCCAAAGGAATGCACTGAAAACCATTTAATCTGTTCCAGCCGAAGGGGAAAAAAAACGAAATTAAAAAGAACACAGCAAGCAGGGTCGGAAGGCACTGAGGCTTTAAGAAGGGGAAGATACTCCAACAATAAACAGTAAACCCAGCTCCATTGCTGAGTCATTAAGAAAAAGAAGCCACCAACAACACAGCACAGAAACATATCTGCCCCAGCCAAAACCCACCCAGAACAGTTTTTAAAAGGAGAAAACAGCAGCTTACCTCTCTGCAGAAACACACACAGGCTCACTCCGAAGCAGGATCTCTCCCAAGCCTCCATCTGCAACACACCCTACAACTGCTGAAAGAGCTACAGCACAAAGAAGCAGCCTCAGTGCCACCTACAGTTAGAAATTTGAATTGCCCTCCATTTTCCCCTGCCTTTTTCTGTTCGTATCTTGAAGCTCCGTTCGCAAGTAGAAGCAAAATTTTGTGAATGGAGCTGTTCGTAAGTTGGATTGTTCGCAGATAGAGACGTTCATAAGTAGAGGTTCCACTGTATGTCATATTTAATGAACGTTCCTGAGAACTACAGTGCAGACTAATTTCAGGGGTAAACGTGCTTATGTAAATCCAGAGAATTTTTAACATTAGTCTCTTTACACAACAGGAGCTGGTATGCTAATTTGGTTAGTGCCAAAATATACAGAAATAAAATGTTAACAAGGCAGTTTAAGTGGGGGCTGTTAGCACTGACATAGCAGAGTGCATTCAAGACAATCGTCTTCGTAGCACTTAACCTCCTTTTACCAAATAAATTAGTGTGCTTCACATTGTTTATTGCTTTATTGAGATTAAAAGTGATAAAGTTCTTTCCCAGAATCTATGCTGCTTACTGATTCTAGAAGGCAGCTTTTTGTTAGCTGATATTCACAGAGATGAATATCCCAGCAGAGCTGGAGCTAAAGAGGGGCCGGACAGTCTACTCATGTGTCTGGTGGCGCTGGCGGCCCCTCTCTTCCTTCTAATCACTCGGGAGCACCACTCAGCTAGCCACTCAGCAGCCTTGTAGGGGAGACTTGTCTTCCCTCCCTCTGCCAGGAGTGGCTAGCTGATTGGGAAGAGAACGGTGCTCAGGAGCGATTGGAGGGATGAGTGGGGCCACCACCTACTAGCGGACGCGTGAGTGGACAGTCCTGCCCCAGGGCACGGACCCTCGTTAACTCCAACTGCACGGGGATATTTGTATACGAATATGAATACCGCCATCTCTACTCAGCATCTATCAAAAAGCCTTGTGTTTAAGAAGATAACGGAGAATTTGTCTGTGATGTTTTTGTCATTTGTGAGTTATCACCTGATATTTCAGAAACTTGGTCCTGGGGAACATGTTGCTGTTATCCAGATACCATTATTTATTGTCATTTGGTAGGCTGGCGGGGCTGATGGCCCTTGCAATCCAACAAAACTAAAGGGTTGTTGGTTTGCCTGCCCTGCAGTAACAGTGTGACAGACCCATGAATTCTCCTCAGCTGCTTTTTAGGACAGGTGTGGAGATTTACTGTATATAGAAAGCAGAAGGCTAAGAAACTGTAACCTTTAGCATCACTAAAGTTGTCTTCTCTGCTTCCTGCCATCCAGCTCTGAGTCAGGTGTTCTCCCTAGAATAGTAAGTCTTTTGAGAACATTCAGGTACTGTATATGCATAATCTTAGAACTGTGTAGCTGGAAAGGACTCTGTGGATTATTGAGTCCAGCTCCTTGTCAAGGAGGCACTGTGGGGGTGTATGTGTGTCAAACTCCCAACCTCTGGCTCTGTGGTCAGATACCTAAACCATTGAGCTGTCCAGGAGTTGATGTTGGTGAATATATGTCGATAGAAACACCATTAAGTTATGAACAGGACAGACACAGACTATTATTTAGAATATTTATGCTCTAAGGGAAGACTTTAAAGGTTAAACTGCTTATAGGCTGCCTGAGTCACTCAAATAAGA